AGGGGCTGAGAGATTTCGTCCGACTTAAGCCAAATCCGACTTATCGAGTGTCCGACTTATCGAGTTTCACTGTGTACCAAGAAAAATTTCTGATACAAATGACTTGAATCAGAAGATAAAGTTGTCAAAGAGGGAGTATGCGAAATCCTACATTAATGCGAGTTGCATCCCCAGAATTAGAAATTCCAAGAATTGCTTGATGGAAAATATGTTCTCAAGGGTTGAAAGTGCAAAAAAATGCAAGTCCATCTAGAAGTTGTCATTCAGTTCATTGTTGAATTCAATTCAGATTATTCTTATTTGTGAATCTTTTTCCTGAGTTCTTTACTCTTAACCTCTTCAACCTTCTTTTCCCTATTTTGTCGGCAATCATACACGCCAACCGGAATAATTAGTGAACAAAGTCAAATATTAACATTTTCGCTTGATAGCAATGTCTAAGCTATTTATATATAGCGCGTTAAGAAAGAAATAGGTCTCCAGATTGTCAAACGTAAAGCACGTCCGCAATAAACGCGTCAGTTGACCGATAACAACGAACTTTAAAACTTGCGTTGATTCCATTTTTGAACTCGAAACGCTATTTTGGTACATAAGTAAAACTCGATAAGTCGAACACGGTTCTGTTCAGATAACGGCCATACTCGCACGGTTCGCCCACAGCTTCACAATGTGAAAATGAGCCCGTTCTAAGTGCATACTTCCTAATCAGTAAGTTACAACTATTGATATAGACTGGCCATCTCACGAGAATCATTAACCATGCTGTAAACGTATGACAAATAATATTTCTGAGCTGCAGAAATATATGATGGAAGTGGAAATGTATTGAAGCGTCTCTATGAAGCCGCGGCAGAAACGTGTCAATTTTTTCCTTAACATGTAATGTTGTTTCATGTTAGCTTAAATACAGTTAATTTTAATAATTTAATTTGTTCACGAGTACGCTATATTATCCCTATAGTTATCAATTTCTCATCACTCTTCATCAAGATTAGCCTCGTCACCAGCACCAAGTAATACTCTCTTCAAGCTCTCATTATCAAAGAACATTCCATTCGGATCATACTTTGTTCTAAACTTGTTAAACTGGTTGCGTCTATCACCAAGACTAGCACGGGTCTGAGGGAAAATTTCTGGAATTTTTTCCCAATAAGACGACCAAGTGGTACTAATAAGGAGAACAAAAAAACAACAACAAAATGATTAGCGTTAAGAAGAAGTGCTGATTACAGAAAAACTTGTCAGAATAATATAGCATGCTTCAATAGATCCCAGTGACATTACTTACTGAGCATCATATTTCTTGGCCCAAGTCTGACTGACAGAATCAACAAAGTCTTGATAGCCTTTAGTATCCCTCACAGACATGAGATCAATAACGGCAAACGTAGTTGAAGGGTTACTATCATATAATGGTGATAGTAACGCCTGGGATGCTTTGATGAAACGAATCCTAATTGGCAAATTGATCGGAAATTCATCCTTTTGAGCACGTTCGTAGATCTAGAAAAGTAATGCGTAAAGTAGAAATTTAGTATAAAAACCGACGCCCGCATATTATATCTCTCAATTAATCTTTCTACTCTCTAATATTTCATCCCTCCTACTTTCTTTCTTTCATTATTTGACTTTCCCTGCGCTCTTGTCATGTCTTCATAACTTGTCAGATTGTACCGCGTTGACATTACCTTACCGACGACTTCATTTAAGGCATCAACCACAGTCCTGTACCCATTAACTTTTATCACAAACTCCACACCAACGTATTGCACACTATCTATTGTTCCGTTCAAAGAGTACGCTTCTCCTCCGGCCACCACAATTTTCTTTTCCTTGACTCCCGCTTTAAATAACAGGTTCACTAAATGCGGCGTCGCGCTTGGATTGTTAACAATAAATCTGAATAACGGTTCATTGAACTTCACGTTGTAGTTCCCCCACAATGTATCTTCTATCTTCTCATTGGAAGGAGTTTCATCTGTTTTTACCAATGATCGGACCCAGATGACGTCGTCAGCAACAGTGAAGGTCGGAGAACTAAATGGAAAGTAGACAAGTTCCAAGGCTTCCTTATAGGAAATAAGCGAAGAGATATTGGTCTCATTCAGGGTATTAGACAGAGGAAGGACAGAGTCTATTAAAAGGGCATGCTGAAGCGGACGTGTGCGAAGTGTCACGGTATGGATTATGCCGAACAAGCCTGTTTAATAATAGACATTGTAAATAAGGGCAGTAGATTAGACAAGTTCTACTCTCTCCTTTCGTCACATTATTTTCTCTGCCTACAACCTACGTTTGCTCAAGACTTACCTAAACTTAACCTAGCCGCATTCATCTCCAATGGATCTTTCTCTTCGGTGAAATCAACTACCTGTTGATCCGCTGTAATCACCTTCAATGCTACAACATCATCCGAAATACTTGCGCTGCTCACTTGCATTCCTGTCGCGCCAACACTAACGGCCCCACCAACCGTTTGTTCTTTAAACAGGCCTCCAGTTTTCAGCATCAGTGGCGGAGTATGTTCACTCAGTGCTTTTTCAATGTTCCCCAACTTTGCTCCTGCCTCAGCGATGACAACGTGACCATATTTCTCATGCGCGGAGATGGTGATTTTAGTCAAGTTGTTGGTGATGATGAGGTAATCTTTAGTACTGCAGAGGGAAGAGAAGGCGTGACCGGATGCAGCGACACGGATATGTTTGGAATGTTTGGCTGCTTTGCGAACGACGCGCTTACAGTCATCGACTGTACGCGGATGGAAGATTTTTTCGGTAGTCAGATGTACAGATCCGGAAAGATTGTGCCAGTCTTTTTCATGAGAGAGAAACTCTTTGGTCTTGTGGATTTTGGCATCGATGTCCTGTTGAATTTTTTTAAAAACGGACGCCATTGAGAGCAATTGGACAAGTCAATAATGGTGCGTTCGGACGAAATTACGAATGTCCTAGTTTGGAATATATCACAATGAGAGTCGATAACTATGTTCGTAGCGATATAACGTTTCGCGTGGGCAACCACCTAATTCGAAGCGTGAGAAAGCGGTCTTGCAAAAAGGCGTTTACATTAAATCTATTGTACATGTGGCTGTGTTGGTGAAAGCTTACTACGTAGATTGCAAAATAAAAAGGGACTGTACATTTAAAATTACTTGAATATGACGTAAAACTGATTTACGCCACAACAGCAAGATGTTACAATACGGGGAAACATTTAACCATATCAAGAAGGGTAAGACGTTACATTAAAAATTAGACTATTATTACGTATAACTAAATGCGGTTAGTTGATCCACCAAATCGTGGCTTTACACTCTTGTACAATATTTTTAGTGAAAGATTTTGCGTCGCATTCTTTCAAAAACTCCATTCGGATCAAAATATTCATGCACCCAATTTGTCGACATAATAACAAGCTGTAAGTATTGACTGACTGTAGAAGTGATCTAAGCCACGACTATTGAGTTACACTAACCACGACTACATAATAATAATAAAATACTACGATTATTTCTTATTCCCACAAAATTTTTCCGATTTCACAGAAATAATGGATGGATCATTAAGCAAAAGTATTTTTATACAAGTCTCTACCATTTCAAAACCAGACAAAGTGAACGTTCTGGAGGGTTGACTAACATTATCACGGTTATAACTTGTACAAAGTTTTATGTAGCAAACTTCTAAAAAAAAACTCTATTACTATGTAAAAATAAAATATATGAAACTATTACATCAAATGCATCGGAAAGTATTCAAAAAAAAAAGCTCAAGGAGAAAATTTGCTCCACATGCTTTAAAATCAATGATACCAATTGAGGACTATCTAGATAAAGGGAAAATAATAGACAATAAACAAACATTACCACCAACTTGTAATGAATCAAGGAAAAAACAAAAACTTGAAGAGGTGTAAGTAAATTTAAGATAACAGCTTTCCACATGCCACCACTAATCAAGCAGCGTATCAATGAAATGTCGTTCTTTATAGTCTTGATAAAAGCGCATCCCGTTGAGCTTTGATTACATTCTGTTTTTTTGATAACTAAGAAGTCAAATAATGTAAAAAATAATTCAATAGCCTGTTCGACGGCAAATTAGTATCAGCCATCGCGTTCCGACTTCAAGTATTATTCTTTACAACAAACCATATTTCCGAAACCCTTTTTCGCAACACAACCTTTTATTTTTTTTAAATAAAACGTGTGTGATGGGATGGAACCAATGGACATTGCCAATCAGGGGCGGCACATATTAGAACAGAACAGGAATGAACAGGGCTAATTTCTCGTAAGCATAAATTGTATTATTTAATTGTTGAATGCGCGCTCTTGAAAATATAAAAGCACAGAGTGATTGCATGGGAGGAAAATACTCGGGCCCAAAGCTATTGAGGAGTATAACCTGTTCTCTGGTCACTCTGGTGCAAATTTAAATCTCATTGCCTGCTTTACTATTACTATTAATATTAACACCATGTTGTCATTATTATTGCTATCCTTTATTTCTTCACTTTCCTTTTTCACATCCGAGTAATTTACATTTTTCTCTTTCTCTTTGTCAATCCAACATTGGATTGCCTCACTAGTCTTCTTTCACCGAGTCGTTTATCGAAGATAAAAATTTTTGTATTGTGAAAGTTGCAACACTTTTTAAAAATTTGAACACGGGACAATTTTTTTTCTACTAAAGCTGGCTTAAATTGACTGGAGCAACTCCTGAAATATTAATATGGGTATAAGATTTTATGTTATTCAGCTTAGTACGTGAAATAATTAACTTTAGAACGTTACCCTCAAAAACTTCTTAATTTTTGTTCCTAAATTTTATCGATAAATTTTGCAAGTCTTGTAGCTGGGCCGTAGCACGAAAATTCAAGAAAGTCGAGACCCTATTGCTGAAATAAGTGCTTCCGTATCCAGGATGTAGAAGCGGGTGAAAGAGGTGTTAAATCGTGTGAAGACATTTTTTGGTGTATGGCGTAAAGAATCTGGTTTATGCAGAGGGAAATATGTGAAAAATTACGTAATTTCGACGACCCACGCATTTATATATTTATTACATGTACACAGTGAAATTTCCTTTAACGAAGATAGCTTATAACAAAGTATTTTCTGAAACCAGTTCGTTCTTAACAGAATATTTTCAGATAAACGAAAATTTATATATAAATTCGGTATAACGATATAACAAAGATTTCAAATCCATGCATAAATAAGCCATTCACTTGAAATATTACCGGACACATAGTATTAGTGTCTTTGTGCCTTATACAAAAATGGAGAACAGGAATCAACATGCCAGAGCTCAATATCAATATTTTTCTGCCTTGTGTTATGCCAATGGATTCATAGTAGAAAAGGATGAACAAAAAGCAGTCGAATTGTATAAAAAGCAGCTGAAGAAGGACATGCCAGTGCTCAATATCAGCTTGCTTTATGCTATGGTAATAGTAATGGAATTGGAGTAGAAAAGAATGAACAAAAAGCAGTTGAATGGTATAAAAAAGCTGCTGAACAAGGACATGCCAGTGCTCGATATGTTCTTGCTTTGTGTTATGCCAATGGATTCATAGTAGAAAAGGATAAACAAAAAGCAGTCGAATTGTATATTGTATAAAAAGCAGCTGAAGAAGGACATGCCAGTGCTCAATATCAGCTTGCTATATGTTATGCCAAAGGAACTGGAGTAGAAAAGGATGAAGAAAAAGCAGTTGAATGGTATGAAAAAGCAGCTGAAGAATGACATACCAGAGCTCAATATGTTCTTGCTTCGTGTTATGCCAATGGATTCATAGTAGAAAAGGATAAACAAAAAGCAGTTGAGTTGTATAAAAAAGCAGCTGAACAAGGAGATGCCAATGCTCAATATAATCTACGTGTATATTATGCCAATGAAACTGGAGTAGAAAAGGACAAAGAAAAAGCAGCTGAACAAGGAGATGCCAGTGCTCAAAATGAGCTTGCTTTATGTTATAGACATGAAACTGGAGTAGAAAAAGATGAACAAAAGGCAGTTGAGTGGTATCAAAAGCTGCTGAACAAGGAAATGCCAGTGCTCAAAATAATCTTGGTGTGTGTTATAATAATGGAATTGGAGTAGAAAAGAATGAACAAAGAGCAGTTGAGTTGTATGAAAAAGCAGCTGAACAGGGACTTGCCAGTGCTCAAAATCATCTTGCTTTCTGTTATTATTATGATAATGGAACTGGAGTAAAAAAGAATGAACAAAAAGCAGTTGAATGGTATAAAAAAGCAGCTGAACAGGGACATTAACATACCAATGCTCAATATACTCTTGGTTGTCATTATGAATTTGGAGTTGGAGTAGAAAAAGATAAACAGAAAGCAGTTGAATGGTATGAAAAAGCAGCTGAGTAGGGACATGCCAGTGCTCAATATAAGCTTGCTTTGTGCTATAGAGATAGAACTGGAGTAGAAAAGGATGAACAAAAAGCAAGTGAATGGTATGACAAAGCAACTGAAAAAAAAACTGCTGACCAACCAGCCAATTTACAAGTTAATGATCAACAAACTCAAGTTTTTCAATGAAATAGCTAGTCCAAGTAAAACAAGACCAAATTAAAAATAACTACAGTGAGACTCTTTCTAATACAAGCAGTAAAAATATCTCTAGTACAGAGAGTTTTGACATACAATTGAGCAAATACAAGGGCTATGAATGGTGATAAATTACATACTAATACAGGACAGCTATGAAATGTTTGTATTGATATCAGGAAAAGATTTAGTTAAGTTTTATTTAGTAAATGATTTAGCATAATTTAAGGATCCAACCACCTATCTGCTTGTGTTATGTAGATCTTTTTTTTTATTTAAATTTTATCAGTTAGAAACGGCCTTTGAATTTTAATAGTATTATGTTTATAGCTTATAGCTTATTAGTAAAGAGTCAAGAAATCTTGAAAGAAATTAGTGTTACGTATGCATGGGTTTTGATCTTATATTAATGTTAATTATAAATGCGTATAAATATTGTCATTATACTATCAACATTAATACAATAGTTACCACAATGACGATAACTTTCCAACAGAGTGCACAGTAAGTTTCAGTTCGAACACATTATCTATACGTTGAGGAGGGTCAATTTCTACCAGTCGTTGGAAAATAATAATCGTTCTCGCAGAGCTTAATAAAATCTCGATTATTGGATGATTCAAATATTCTGAAAACTTCAGCTAATAATACATTATATTATATCCACTGATAGCAATTAGCTTCTTTCTTTAACATTCTCAAGCCGGATCAAATGCTTTTAGGGTTTTAATTAAAAAAGGAAATTTGAACTGCTGTTTCGATATTTATACTCATTTGAATAGCGATTGCGCCTGGTGTTCCACCTAGTACTAGTGGACGTTGATATTGAGTCAAAATTTATTAGTCTGTATGACAGAAAAATTTTCCTATCCTATGCGGGAAATTATAATGTCGTTAATTACATGGTATTTTTAAATTGTTAATTATCTAATGACTTAGTAGCATAACGGTCATTTGATAATGAAATACAATTGTTTTATAATTTTAAGAGTTTCGTTTTTTGATAGATCGGCAAGCACCCCAAATTTTGGTTTCTTTTTTGATACATCTGCGAAAAAGTCACGTTTTCGACAATTCCCAGAAAATTATTCGATGTACAGTCGACTCTCGACAAGATAAAGTCGTCGGGCTGGACCAGAAATGTTCATATTATTGAAATATCATAACAACGAGAGATCTTGTTATATTATAATTGACTTGATCCGGATATTACAGTATTAGTATTAGGCCAACTTACTGTCATAACCATATGTGTACATAATAACTATGTTAATATGTGAACGTAATGATTATATGCAAATATAATAGATACCAAAGCTCTTGTGAATGTTAGATGTAAACCCTTCCTTGAGGTCTGCCATAGTTCCATTAATCGTATGAATTTTTTAGATAATAACATCGGAACCATAGATTATTAATTGTGGAACAAGATAAATGCCGATATTATGAAGCTAAATAACTAATACTCTTTGCGAGCTTCTTCATTGATGTGGGAGGAGGCGTTGTTATAATACTTGAGAACACAGATGACAGCAACGGGACTTTTTTTGAGACCGATGGTCCACTAATTACTTATTACTGTTAGTCCTTGCTTCAAAATTCAGATACTTTGTGTTTGACTTTCACGTGTAGTCATAGTATAATGCGTCGGATAATTTTCTGGGGATTGTCGAAAACGTATCAAAAAACGAAACTTTTGCATTCAAAACTTTTAAAGTTTAATTCACGTGATTAAATCCAAGAAAAGTTTCGGAACTGCACAACTGGACATAGACATGGGAAAAAATTAACCGCGACTACATCACACTCGGAGTCTGAATTTATGCACAGATAGTAAACTCATAATCGAAATTTGATACAAATCATGCTTTTTCTACTTCCAGCGTATATTATGCGAAAAACTTGGTTTATTGTAAAAATCAGACTGAAATAAAATTTTTTGCCAAATTAATTTTATAATTACTTTTTGTTTTTATCTAAAAAATATTGACGAATTTTGATAAGATTAGTTACCACCGCTTTTCTTCCATCTGGTTCTGCAAGATTTAGACCAGTAATTCTACCATTTCTCCCTGGCCATCTTTTAACCACAACCGACTGCTTTTTTGGCATATTTAGATCTCCAAGCTCCTCTCAATATAACGTGGAAATTGTAGTTTGGTAAAATGTAGAAATGACGCGAAAAGCAAACATTTCCTGATCCGGCATGTATCCTTCATAAACTTCAAGTATATTTTCATGTCCACTAGCAAGTATTTCACCAGCAATTTGTGCTTCTCCAAAAAGACTTGCCTTATAGAGATTTTTTTTTTGCAGGTGTTTATCCTATTTAAAAGGTTGTTTGAGTAAACAATAATTTAGACTTTTCAAAGATCAAGAACATACAAACCTCTACACCTATCAAAGCAATTTTTTTCAAATTAATATTAATCGTAAATTCTGGTTCTGCTGGCGCTCCCTCGTGATTAGATAGAGGGTGGTCGGAATCTGAGATTTGGGCATAATGCAAATTTTAAGAAGCATTGAAGTATATCAAACAAAATATTTTTTTCCTTACCCATCTCACTTTAAAGAGCCAATTATCAAACTTGGTAACATGAAGTTTACTAGAGTATCAGTCGCAGATTTACTTCTGCCTACAACAAGACGCGAATTCTTAGCAACATCATGCAGTTTATCAACAAATGTTTTAACGTGATTATTATTATCTGAAATTTCAGTAAAATTTTCAACATTAATGGTTGGACTAGCAAGCAGATCGTGATTAATGTTGGAGAGAATGTATTCTTCGGGAATGGTGACTAGACATTATTTAATGTGTTATTGAGTTTGTTGGCAGGAAAAAGTTAATGAGCAAATAAATTATATGTGTTTGATTTGCTAAGAGAGTTGTCAACATAATGTAATTTGTACCTTTAGTATCAGGTATAACATTATGTCTGCTAGCTGGGTGAAAGCTCACTTTCAGTGCCTCGAGATTTTTTTGTCCGAATGCAAATGTTGAACGAGAGAAGGCTTTCTCCGAATCAGGAATAAAGTCATACAAATGCCAATCTCTTCTGCCTCGTTTTTGCAAAGTTAGGACGCTTAGTTGGAGGGTGCGTCGAGAAAATTTCGTAAAGAGACCGAAAATTCAATAATTTAATATCATGTGATATACACCAAACCCATTGGTAGTATATTAATTGATAATTTTCCATAGAATGCCTCGTCCTAGTAAACGCCAACTACAAGTAGCAAACAGGAAGTATTCCCATTACAGCAATCCGAAATTTTACAAAAGTCATGGAGTATATAGATGAGGCTTAGAAGGAAGGATTGCTGAATGGACAGTAAGAAGAATACACCACAACGTCGATTGTTAACAAATTTTTTTAGATGTTGTTTAGTTCCTGTTTCGCTTGAAATTCGCCTCGATTTTTTATAGAGAGGGACTAA